CGGTTGTTTGTGAATTTAAATTTTGACATTTTATTATTGTATTTTTCTGCTTTGTAGACAAGATGTTTTGCTCTTTTTACAATAAAGCATATTTTGATTTGATTTGATATCAAAAATATGTTTGAGAGCCAGGAAAAATTTAAAAGTTCAATTTCACAAACTCTCAGTCCTTTTTTTTTTTTCCTGAAAATCCCAGCAAAATTGCCCCTTTTACACTTGTTCGCAGTTCAATTCCAGCGGATTTTTACATTCAAATTTGCTTTAAGGCCCTTATTGCACCCCAGCCCAGATATTAAAAACTTCAAACGATTTATTTTTTCTAGAAGTTAAATTCAATCCGCAGACTGACTCAAAATCTAATAATAGTTTCAATTAAAAATGATTATTTTTTTTCCCGATTATAACGCGTGACCGAAAGCCCTTTTTTATAAAAATGACCTTTTGCTCAAAACCTAAACTACTTCTATTCACGTAATGATAAATTTGAATTTGAGAAATTGCCTTTTACGATAAACAGAATTAGATGAAGATAAGAGTTTGTTTTTCTGGAATAATGGAATTATATTTTCCATTTCCAAAAGCGATTTTCTATGTATTGAAACGCGGTCATTTTAAGTAAATGAAAATTTTGTTGTCATACCTTTTTGAATTATGTTATAAACCTTGTAATCAAAATTTTAAAAAAAGTCTTAAGTACCTAAGTACATATGTATATAAAAATAATTAAATTTAAATCATACACTCTGATAAGTTTTCATAAGCAATTCTTACTTAACCAAGTCCAAAAAGATCGCGGAAAAAAACGAAAAACTTTCTCGCACGTGACTCGAAAGTAATATTTGGGGCGGAAATGTGCCAGCACCAGGAGGCGGCAACCGACTGAAATGAGGCGGCAAAAACGTCTCAAACCTGGAAAAGCTTGTGCGCAGGTGGACAAGTTTCTAATAAAATGAAAATTTCACAGAGGATTTTTGAAATACATAAATCTCTGGATGGAAGGAATCGAATTTGTATAGTCGATCCATAATCCAGAGTGAAAAGAGTCGAAAAATAGATGGAGTTGAGGAGGAAAGAAATTATGAATTATATTGAAAAGTTTCTCTAAGGCTTGTATGTTGAGTTTTGGCAAAACTTTTTCATTTCTCCTTTTAAAAATCAAAGTCTTTTCATGCCTTTATAGTTTGAGTTTTAGCTCTATCAGAGAGAAATGAAATTTTCACAATTTCCCAATTGAATTTCACCTCTGCAAAATACAAATAATTATATGAGCTTTTCATATATGTAGGAGCTCCGAGAATAGAATTCTAATCCAAATTAGATTTTCACATATACAAAACCCGAAAACCATATAAGTCCAAATAATTTAATTGATAATCAAACATCAATTTACTCCTGATGAAAAGCTTTCAATTAATTCCCAGGTCGATTTAACGCACGTTTGGCTTCTAAACTCGACAATAACGAAGCTTGATAAATTTAATGGCAAACTCTCGTTACTTCATCTCACCACCAACTTCCGAACTTCCTCGTTATTATAATTCAAGTGAGAATTATAAAGTTTTGGGAAGTTTTAACTTTTTCTCGAATGAATTAAACAATAGAGATGCGGTAATGAACTATTTAATATTATAAAACAGGATTTCATTCTAGAATAGGTATACTTAGCTTTTATACAGCTATAATTTGACATCCAACAAGTGGTATCATTACTTATACCATGTAAATCCTTTTTATTTTTATTCCTTCTAGAATTGTAAAATCAACTCCCACATGAGCTTCATTGTGTTTGAAACGTAAAAATCTTTTCCAATTTACTAAATGCATTTTGAAAAAAGAACTTTTCTTTTATAATAAAACTTGATTTTCAGTAGGTTTTTCTTCCTCCTGGAAATTTATTGAAAATGTAATTTTCCAGGCTTCATCTTTTCTCTCCTGATTAAATGTCGGTAGGTACTTGACATTTTACGAGTGAGGAAGCCTCTTTTGGCTTTGGATTATTAATTGGAAATTCCTTTTTAATATGAAATTCTGGAATGGAAAAGAAACCCCCGAAAATCTTCATGCAAGAGGATTTTCTATAGGAACGAATTAATTTAATTTTGAGTTTCATATTGTTTTGTTTCATGGAAAAACTCTAATTAATAAATCCTGAAAGTTTTAAGTAGCTGTAGTGGCTGAAAGTATTTTTCAGGAAGTGATTTTACAAGAAATTTATGATTTTCTCAGGTATTGATGAGTTAAAATAATTGTAGCTTGAGTTTTGAGTTCCATATCAACTTCCAACTTGTTTTGTATGATGAAAAAACTCTAATTATTAAATCCTGATAGTTTGAAGTAACTGTGATGGCTCAAAGTATTTTTCAAGAACCTTTAAGTGTGATTTTACAGGAATTCAATGATTTTTTCAAGTATCAATCAGTAAAAAATGTCGTAACTTTGGTTCGGATTTTCATATCACCGCAAAATTTGTTTTCTATCATAAGAAAACTTTACTCAATAAATCCTGGAAGTTTCAAGTTGCTGTGATGGCAGAAAGTATTTTTATGATTTTCTCAGGTATCAATGAATTAAATAATCCGTAACTTCAGTTGTGAATTTCAGAACAACTTCTGACTAGTTTTGTATCATAAAAAAACTGTAATTAATAAATCCTGAAAATTTCAACTCACTGTGATGGCGCAATGTATTTTTCAGTAATTTTCAAAGTTGATTTTATACGAATTTCATAATTTTCTCAGGTGTTAATCAGTAAAAAAAATCGTAACTTTAGTTCTGACTTTCATATCAATGTCAAATTTGTTTTCTACCATGAAAAAACTCTGATTAATAAATCCTGTGAGTTTCAAGTTCCTGTGATGGCTCAAAATATTTTTCAGGGACCTTCAAAGGTGATTTTACAGAAACTTCATGATTTTCTCAGGTATAATGAGTAAAATAATCCGTAATTTTGGTTGTGAGTTTCATATCAACTTCCAATTTATTTTATATCATGAGAATACTCTAATTAATACATCTTGAAAGTTTCAAGTTGGTGTGACAGCTCAAAGTATTTTTCAGGAACCTTCAATGATGATTTTACAGGAATTTTATGATTTTTTTACTGATTGATATCAGTAAAAAAATCCTAACTTTGGTTGTGAGTTTCATATCAACTTCAAATTTGTTTTGTATCATGAAAAAACTCTAAATAATAAATTCTGGAAATTTCAACGTAGGTATTGTGATGATTCAAAGTATTTTTCAGGACATGATTTTACAAAAAAATTTCAAGTACCTACCTATCTTTGAGTAAAATAATTCATAACTTCGGTTGTGAATTACATATCAACTTTCAACTTGTTCTGCATCATGAAAAAACTCCAATTAATAAATCCTGAAAGTTTCAAGTTGCTGTGATGACTCAAAGTATTTTTCAGGAACCTTCAAAGATGATTTGACAGGAATTTCATAATTTTTTCAAGTATCAACGAATAAAAAAAATCGTAACTTTGGTTGTGAGTATCAAATCAACTTCCAACTTGTTTTGTATCACAAGAAAGCTCTAATTAATAAATCCTGAAAATTTTAAGTTACTCTGATGGCTCAAAGTATTTTTCAGGGATCTTCAAAGGTGATTTTACACAGAAACTTTATGATTTTCTCAGGTATCATTGAGTGAAATAATCCGTAACTTTGGTTATAAGTTACATATCGACTTCCAATTTGCTTTATATCATGAGAATACTCTAATTAATAAATCCTGAAAGTTTCAAGTTGCTGTGATGGCTCTAAGTATTTTTCAAGGAGATAAATTACATGCATATTCAAGTGCTTTTTGATCTATACAGAGAGAGAGCTAAGCCCGAGTTCGTGCTTTTAGGACATCCAGAAATTTTCCAGCTGATAAGAATACTAAATCAGATAGTAGCAAAACTGGAAAATTCGCTTACAAATCCATAAGATTACAATAAAAACTGACACAAATAATTTAACCTTCAGTTTTACAAAATTACTAAATATAGCGTTTCCTCATTTTATTCCCAATAGGAAAGAGCACGCAAATTTCCAGGTAAAAGGCTCAACATTTTGGGTTAGTTACAAATTGCATTATTTTAATTAAAATTATATCTATACACGTGTATAGAGAAATATTCTCATATTACCTACTGCTTTGAAGTTGCAAATCAGAAAATGGGCTTCGAAGGAACAGATGCGTAAAATATGCAAACGTTTTCCCAATGGATTTTTCCGAAAGGCTGGATAATGTAAGAGCTTTAGGGAATTCGAGATTAGTTAGGCATTGAAGCAATAGAGGAACCTAATTTTCTGGAATTGTAGAGGATGTAAGAAACTTCTGGAAAAAATCTGAGAAAGTTTGGGAAAATCCAAAGATTGCATAGGAATAGTATATTTTGTGTAGGTATTTAGGTGGAAAAGTGACATTATTCATAGATTCCTTAGCAACTATTGAAACATAATTGAAATACCAGAATATTGAGTTTTGCGATCTGTCAACCGGTCAAAAATGCTGAAATTTCTTGTCAATAGCAAAAAAATTATATTATGGAAATCCAAAGAAGTTTTCTATTATAAGAAATATTTAACAAATAAATAGAGGAAGTTTCTATGCAAAAAAGTCTTGTTTTGAATCAAAATCATGTAAATATTATTTTTTTTTTTGTAATTGTAGCTTGAAACTCTTGTAAGTAGCCAGTAGATTTCCAAGGAAAGGTTAATAATTAAAAGGAAAAATTTATATACCTACCTACTTGAGTGAGAAATTACTTTTAGAAGTACCTACTTGTACATAGAGACATTTGAGTATCCAGAAAAACCAAACAATTATACTTATTGGTAAGCAATTTATTGTATTTTTTAACAGATCATTGGTACCTAAGCATTTATTATCATCAGACATCCACATGCAACAAGTATAAAAGTAAGCATTTTGTCAATAATTATTCCAATATAAGATAAACAAAACATCGAGAAGCATTTTTTTTTTGGTACATCGATCTTACCCTTCGCATAACCCTTAGTGAAAACGAAGATGTCTTCATTCTAAAAACTTGAAATAAAGAGGGATGAAATATATAGGGTAGGAGTTGTCTGGACTGAACCACCATCAACACTGAACTTTATCTTTTTTACGACGGGGTGGGAAAGCTCTATATCTTGCCGGTTGCCATGGTTAAAAAACCTGCGTTCCAGGATCCAACTGTTGCTGCTCCATGGATATTTCCACAATTTATATTATACAAATAATCTCTGGATATAGGGCATAGGGTTTTTAATATTATATTTTGAGGCCTGTTAAACATTTTCATTACGTAATTTTTGGTTCCCAGGGTTTTTTTTTTTTTGAGTACCTAATATAAATGGAATAAAGCTTATCAGGATTAAATTCTGGATTTCTTCTGATTAGTTTCGATTCCAAATAGGAAAATATGCATGAATTCATTTTGATGAAAAATGTCACTGCAATTTTCAGCTGTACACGACATTATAATGAGAAAAATTCTAGGAATTCAATCGATCATTTTACAGGCTTGAATCTTAACCTTTCCTCTATTTTTTTGCAAAATTTCAATCCAATACCTAAAATATTTTCGCTGAATGTCGTTTTTTGGGAGTTTGAATGACATCAACTTACATTTTGCCTCACAGCTTAGTTAATTTCGATCCTATTTCAACGTTATTGGGCTTGAATTGAAGCCGATTAAATTCTCTACAAATCTGTAATGAATAATTTCAATATTTCAATAATTTCGAAGCTACGAAGTCATTTTTCGAAAATTTGATTTTTCAAAAAAATGACATTGATACACATTTTGCCTTATAACTTTGTTAATTTCAATCCGATCTTAATGTAATCAGGCTTGAATTGAAGCCAAGTAAATCCTCTACAAATGTCTAATAAATCATTTCAATGCAGCTTCAATAGTTTTGGAGCTTTAGTGTCTCCAAAGTTATTAGAGTTTGATTTCTATCGAGGTGAATGAGTGCTAGAAAAATTAGCGGTGTTGCCATTATATTTTTTTTTTTTCAAATTGCGGGCCCCCAGGGCCGGCGTCTTTTCAAATTGCGAGCCCGAAGGGCCGGTGTCTATTTAAATTACGAGCCCGCAGGGCCGGAGTCTTTTCAATCCCGAGCCTGTAGGGCGAGGGTTTTTCTAATTACAAGACTGAAAGGCCTTTTTAAATCGCGACTCAGAGCTGCGGTGCCTCAAAGTCATTTTTTGGAAATAAATGACATTAATACACATTTTGCCTCATAACTTTGTTAATCTCAATCCGATTTCAACGTAATTAGTCTCAAATCAAAAATAATTGAATTCTCTACAAAATAGGCACAATTCAATATAAAGTAGCAGCTTCATTTATTTAGAAACTTCAAATTTACAATAATAAACTATAAAATCATTAAAAAAAATCCTGAATTCAAACAAAACCATCATCTAATGCGGCATACAATTGACGAATTCATAAAACTCATTAAACTTGGACACCAGAAACCGTCTAAAACCAACTAAAATATCCTTTTTTGCTGGGACTTTTGGGGGTTTTAGGCGTTTCAGGTGCCTCACTGGAATTTTCATTAGGAACCGTGTCTTTGAGTAAAGTATTCGTTTGCAGCTGCAACTGAGACTCGTAACTTCTTACATCGTCCATTGTCATATTGATCCATTCGTCTACCCAAGCAAACGCTTGCCTGTGTCCCAAAAGAAGTACTTCACGAATACACTAAAAAAAGAAAAACATAAATTTTCTTTTGGAAATACACCAAAATATAATATTTACTGAATGAATAAATTCTTCTACTTTAGTCTGCAAACCAAAAACCTCAAAGTACGCATTGACTAGTTTGTAGCTGCACATGATTGGTTGGAAATTGGTCCTCCAACCGTCTACCAAAGGGCCTCGGTTTGTTTTAATTGATTTGAAAAATTTCAAATCTTCTTCTTCTTTGTAGTGTTTGGCAGACACTTCGTCATATGCAATATCAATGTGTTCAACGATTCTTTCGGCCAATTGTTCCGGTGTCAAATTCAAACACTAAAAATTTGTCAGTGTTTTTGGAGTTTCTTTTTAATAATTGATTATTGACTTACATTTTCACTTGATCCGTTGTTGTTTTCGTATCTTGTCTGGATTGATATGTGGAATTTTGGTATAAAGGAACACTGAGAAAATTACAATAATTGGAATTCCAAAAAACAAAAATACTTACAGTATAATCAGTAATTGTATAAGGATAATAGTTCCATGCCTTTTCAGTTACATAGAAGATTTTTGGTAATATTGCTTGAACCCAATAAGGAAGACGGCTAAAAAAATCAAAAAAAAAGTATGTATTTTTGAAGAATATGAGTTTTTTACTTGGATAAATGGATTCGTTTTTCAGTGTATTGGCCTTTTCCGTGTTCCTGGTCTTCGATAGGTTTGTTTTCTACTACTTCAACTCCTTCGCCGTCTCCGGATTGTTCCAGGCTGTGTCTGGCTATCATGTAGAGTTGACCAATGTGATACTATAAATAGAGGGATTGTTCACTGGTTTTTTTGGACAATTTTTTGTTTATTCCAGGCTCTTGAAAAACATAGATAATTGAAAATGTTCAACTATGAGGCTTTGAGAAAGTATTTGAGGATTCAAAAAATAACATTTACATACATTTTGCCTCATAACTATGTTAATTTCAATCTGATCTTAACGTAATTAGGCTTGAATTAAAGCCAATTAAATCCTCTACAAATGTCTAATGAATCATTTCAATGCAGCTTCAATAATTTCGAAGCTGCGACGCTTCAAAGTCTTTAGAGTTTGATTTCTATCAAAGTGAATGAGCAGAAGGAAATTTTTATTTTTTTTCTCAAATTTCAATCTTTTCTCTATCTACTTGCAAAATTTCAATTAAGTCCTTCAGACATTTTCTTCAAAAAAAAATAAAATGTCCCTCAATGTCATTTTTCTTCGAATGACAGTAAAAGCGGCTTTTTAATGACACTTGACAGGATCAAAAGTTGTATTTTTACTGCCTAGGCATTAAAAGTGACAGTGTCACAACGTTCCAGGTAATAATTTCACTCAATTTGGTATTTGAAATTGATGGTGACAATGACAATTGTCTAAATAATTTAATTATTTGGATAATTATAATGAATGAAATAAATAATATAAAAAAAGATGTCCCTGTGTGAATTTGAAGATTCGGAGAAAAAATTATATGTTTTACATGGCAGAAAAGCAGATTTAATGCCTTGGCTGGTTGAAACACCAGCCGCGGCATTAAATCTTGTACTTTTCTGCCTAGTAAAACAAATAACTATTTTTGGAAATTTGATTTTTTCAAAATGACATTGATACACGTTTTGCCTCATAACTTTGTTAATTTCAATCTGATCTTGATGTAATTAAGTTTGAATTAAAACCAATTAAATCCTCTACAAGTGTCTAGTGATTTATTTCAATGCAGTTTCAATAATATCGAAGCTGTGACACTTAAAGTCCTTAAAGCTTGATTTCTATTGAGGTGGATGAGCCTTGCAAAACTTCAATTCAATCCTTCACACATTTTCCTCAAAAAAAAAATCCCAAGCCCGTAGGGCGAGGGTTTTTTTAATTACGAGCCCGAAGGGCTGGGGTCTTTGTAAATCACAAGCCCGAAGGGTCATTTTTCGGAAATTTACTTTTTTAAAATGACATAGATACACATTTTGCCTTATTACTTTGTTAATTCCAATCCGATCTTAACGTAATTAGGCTTGAATTGAAGCCAATTAAATCCTCTATAAATGTCTAATAAATCATTTCAATGCAGCTTCAATAATTTCAAAGCTGCGACACTTCAAAGTCTTTAGAGTTTGATTTCTATTGAGGTGAATGAGCAGAAGGAAATTTTAATTTTTTTTTCTCAAATTTCAATCTTTTCTCTATCTACTTGCAAAATTTCAATCAAATCTTTCAGAATTTTCCTCAAAAAAAAATAAAACGTCCCTCCAATGTAATTTTTTGGGAATTTGATTTTTTCAAAATGACATTGATATAAATTTTGTCTCATAACTTTGTTAATTTCAATCCGATCTCAACGTAATTAGGCTTGAATTAAAGCCAATTAAATCCTCTACAAATGTCTAATGAATCATTCCAATGCAGCTTCAACAGTTTCAAAGCTGCGGTGTCTCAAAGACATTTTTTGAAAATTTGATTTTTCTAAAAATGACATTGATACACATTTTGCCTCACAACTTCGTTAATTTCAATCCGATTCTGACGTAACTAGGCTCAAATTAAAGCCAATTAAATCCTCTACAAATGTCTAATGAATCATTCCAATGCAGCTTCAACAGTTTCAAAGCTGCGGTGTCTCAAAGACATTTTTTGAAAATTTGATTTTTCTAAAAATAACATTGATACACATTTTGCCTCACAACTTCGTTAATTTCAATCCGATCTTAACGTAATTAGGCTGAATTTAAAGTCAATTGAATCCTCTACAAATGTCCACAGAATAATTTCAATGCAATTTTGATAGTTTCGAGGCTGCGATGCCTTAAAGTAATTTTTTGAAAATTTGATTTTTCTAAAAATGACATTGATACACATTTTGCCTCACAATTTCGTTAATTTCAATCCGATTCTGACGTAACTAGGCTCAAATTAAAGCAAATTAAATCCTCTACAAATGTCTAATGAATCATTTCAATGCAGCTTCAACAGTTTCAAAGCTGCGGTGTCTCAAAGACATTTTTTGAAAATTTGATTTTTCTAAAAATGACATTGATACACATTTTGCCTCACAACTTCGTTAATTTCAATCCGATCTTAACGTAATTAGGCTGAATTTAAAGTCAATTGAATCCTCTACAAATGTCCACAGAATAATTTCAATGCAATTTTGATAGTTTCGAGGCTGCGATGCCTTAAAGTAATTTTTTGAAAATTTGATTTTTCTAAAAATGACATTGATACACATTTTGCCTCACAACTTCGTTAATTTCAATCCGATCTTAACGTAATTAGGCTGAATTTAAAGCCAATTGAATCCTCTACAAATGTCCACAGAATAATTTCAATGCAATTTTGATAGTTTCGAGGCTGCGATGCCTTAAAGTCATTTTTTGAACATTTGATTTTTCTAAAAATGACATTGATACACATTTTGCCTCACAATTTCGTTAATTTCAATCCGATTCTGACGTAACTAGGCTCAAATTAAAGCCAATTAAATCCTCTACAAATGTCTAATGAATCATTTCAATGCAGCTTCAACAGTTTCAAAGCTGCGGTGTCTCAAAGACATTTTTTGAAAATTTGATTTTTCTAAAAATGACATTGATACACATTTTGCCTCACAACTTCGTTAATTTCAATCCGATCTTAACGTAATTAGGCTGAATTTAAAGCCAATTGAATCCTCTACAAATGTCCACAGAATAATTTCAATGCAATTTTGATAGTTTCGAGGCTGCGATGCCTTAAAGTCATTTTTTGAAAATTTGATTTTTCTAAAAATAACATTGATACACATTTTGCCTCACAATTTCGTTAATTTCAATCCGATTCTGACGTAACTAGGCTCAAATTAAAGCCAATTAAATCCTCTACAAATGTCTAATGAATCATTTCAATGCAGCTTCAACAGTTTCAAAGCTGCGGTGTCTCAAAGACATTTTTTGAAAATTTGATTTTTCTAAAAATGACATTGATACACATTTTGCCTCACAACTTCGTTAATTTCAATCCGATCTTAACGTAATTAGGCTGAATTTAAAGCCAATTGAATCCTCTACAAATGTCCACAGAATAATTTCAATGCAATTTTGATAGTTTCGAGGCTGCGATGCCTTAAAGTAATTTTTTGAAAATTTGATTTTTCTAAAAATGACATTGATACACATTTTGCCTCACAACTTCGTTAATTTCAATCCGATCTTAACGTAATTAGGCTGAATTTAAAGCCAATTGAATCCTCTACAAATGTCCACAGAATAATTTCAATGCAATTTTGATAGTTTCGAGGCTGCGATGCCTTAAAGTCATTTTTTGAACATTTGATTTTTCTAAAAATGACATTGATACACATTTTGCCTCACAATTTCGTTAATTTCAATCCGATTCTGACGTAACTAGGCTCAAATTAAAGCCAATTAAATCCTCTACAAATGTCTAATGAATCATTTCAATGCAGCTTCAACAGTTTCAAAGCTGCGGTGTCTCAAAGACATTTTTTGAAAATTTGATTTTTCTAAAAATGACATTGATACACATTTTGCCTCACAATTTCGTTAATTTCAATCCGATCTTAACGTAATTAGGCTGAATTTAAAGCCAATTGAATCCTCTACAAATGTCCACAGAATAATTTCAATGCAATTTTGATAGTTTCGAGGCTGCGATGCCTTAAAGTCATTTTTTGAACATTTGATTTTTCTAAAAATGACATTGATACACATTTTGCCTCACAATTTCGTTAATTTCAATCCGATTCTGACGTAACTAGGCTCAAATTAAAGCCAATTAAATCCTCTACAAATGTCTAATGAATCATTCCAATGCAGCTTCAACAGTTTCAAAGCTGCGGTGTCTCAAAGACATTTTTTGAAAATTTGATTTTTCTAAAAATAACATTGATACACATTTTGCCTCACAACTTCGTTAATTTCAATCCGATCTTAACGTAATTAGGCTGAATTTAAAGCCAATTGAATCCTCTACAAATGTCCACAGAATAATTTCAATGCAATTTTGATAGTTTCGAGACTGCGATGCCTTAAAGTAATTTTTTGAAAATTTGATTTTTCTAAAAATGACATTGATACACATTTTGCCTCACAATTTCGTTAATTTCAATCCGATTCTGACGTAACTAGGCTCAAATTAAAGCCAATTAAATCCTCTACAAATGTCTAATGAATCATTTCAATGCAGCTTCAACAGTTTCAAAGCTGCGGTGTCTCAAAGACATTTTTTGAAAATTTGATTTTTCTAAAAATGACATTGATACACATTTTGCCTCACAACTTCGTTAATTTCAATCCGATCTTAACGTAATTAGGCTGAATTTAAAGCCAATTGAATCCTCTACAAATGTCCACAGAATAATTTCAATGCAATTTTGATAGTTTCGAGGCTGCGATGCCTTAAAGTCATTTTTTGAACATTTGATTTTTCTAAAAATGACATTGATACACATTTTGCCTCACAATTTCGTTAATTTCAATCCGATTCTGACGTAACTAGGCTCAAATTAAAGCCAATTAAATCCTCTACAAATGTCTAATGAATCATTTCAATGCAGCTTCAACAGTTTCAAAGCTGCGGTGTCTCAAAGACATTTTTTGAAAATTTGATTTTTCTAAAAATGACATTGATACACATTTTGCCTCACAATTTCGTTAATTTCAATCCGATCTTAACGTAATTAGGCTGAATTTAAAGCCAATTGAATCCTCTACAAATGTCCACAGAATAATTTCAATGCAATTTTGATAGTTTCGAGGCTGCGATGCCTTAAAGTCATTTTTTGAA